GTTACGATAGATTCAGAGTTATATACAGGAAAAGAAACTATTATATTGCCAACCTTTGTAGCTTTCAAAATCCTTCCATCACCGACTTTTACTTGAATAGGATTTTTCAAATTGACTTGCTCTTTGAAATATTCATCACTGTTTATAATGTGGTCTGTGCATCTGCTATCCAGTAACCAATTGATTTCATTTTTATTCATCACAGTATTTGCACTGGAACTTGACATGTTACTTTCGATAACAGTGGTGTGAAAACTATTTCCTTGATGACTGTTTATTCTGTGGTTAGAGTATGCTCCGCGTCTACGATGTGTACTAAAAGCACGACTACGTTCTCGATTGTTTGAAACACTTTGACCACGATAATTAGTGGAGCCATTACCACGATAGTTCCTTTGATGGACATGCCAACAATTATTTTTAATGTGACCAGGTTTTCCACATTTATAACAGACATTCCCTTGTGGACCCGATTTGCTTGTTTCAATTTTGAATGCATTTGATTTTTCTGCTGGTGCGCAATAATCATTTTTCCCTTCAAGTAATTTTGATCTGATTTTGCTCTTTAGGTAATCGACTGTTCTGTCCTTCTCTGGTAATACATCTACTAAGTCACCAATGTGACTGTAATTTGAAGGTAATGCTCTTAGCATATAGTTCAATTTTTCTTGTTCCGTCACGGTGGCGCCGGCATGTTTCAGTTCGCTCACATACTTCTCAAAATCATCGAAAAATATATTTACATCAGGATAATTTTTCAGTTTAACACATTCTAAGTTATTTTGACAAACAATTTGTAGAGATGTTGAAGTTTTTAAATACATTGCATCAAATTTCGTAATTATATCAAATGCAGTCTCACACTCGTGAATATATTCCAATTGCTTGTTTGTTATGGCGCCGTAAATGTAATTTGTAACTTGGATATCCTTTTCTTCCCATTTTCCACGTCATTGTTTTCACTGACTTTTCGCTGAACCACATCTTTACATTTTTTAAATTGAAGAAATTTCATCATACGCACTTTCCAATTAAAATAGCCCGAGCCATCAAATCGCGATATACCAATATCACTGCTTCTTGTACATGCCATTTTTCTGCTAGTACCGGTAACTTTTAAAACAAATTATAACTACTAAATTCTTCATTCATATTCACAAACCATGCTCTGCTGCCATGTTAAATAAACTGATATCATATCAAGAAGCAAGTCAAAAAATAAGAAACGTATCTTTTCACATTTTTTATTGAAACTTAACAACACATGCACAACATTACACCAACATCCATAGCTTGCACACAGAGAAGAAACTTAGTGTTGCCAACATGGTAAAGATAATGTACCAAACTAACATCCATAGCATAGTAGCAACAAAAGTATAAATAATTCAAAAAGTGGGACATCCTGCTGGAATACTCTGCATCAAGTTAGCCTGTGCTGTATGATTTAAGGAAGGATGCAAATATTCCTCAGCACTGCAAAAAAACATATCACTCACAATGCATAAAAATATGTAGAAATCCTAATTCGGAATTACGGCAAAATAAGTGAAAGAACAACTATTAACATCTGAAACAGGTGTTTGTGTTTTCACTTCATGAAGAAAGTAGAAAGAGTTCTGGTGATATAAACTGTCGTATAAGTTCTCTATTTATTGAGCATATAAGCTTTCATTTGTTTTTCAGATTTTTCAATACATTGCTTTCAGTAAAAGAGTAAGCCAGATTCATTTATCTTTCACATTTTACAATATATTGTTTTCATTATGAAAAGGGGGAATTGAATGTTATGTATTTCGTATTTCAATAGCAACAGGGTTTTAAAATACACTTACTTGTTCATGTACTATAGCTATTTTGCAGACATTTCATTGTTCGTCACAGATATTTGCTTTTTATGGAGATCTGTTATTTGTTAATACCTTGAACAAACATTATGAAGAAAACAGCTATTATGCATTACAGGTGAATAAACCATCTTCTTATATATTTATGTATAAATGTAATTAGATTTTAGGTAAGTAGCTATGGTACTTTTGCCCTGTCCAAGTATAAATGTCTTTAACATAAGTTTTTTTTAAACCAAGTCCTCATTTTGCTGATGGTATACCTCGCCATCTTTGATTAAAGAATTAAAAGGCCCACATCTGTATAAAAAATAAAAACATTTTAAATATAAAACAAAAACAATTTTACTCATTTCAATTAAAATACCAAAAAGAAATAACTTTTTTTATTGACAAATTATATCTTGAACTGAAAACATGTAATGTACTATCAAAACAATATTTGTAATACATGCAGAGAAATAAAATAGTTACTGCTTTTCCAGTTCTAATTAGAAATTTTATATTATTTCACTAATATCTTTTCTTTGCTCGAACCATAAATAAATTCCAGAGATTTTAAAGTCATCCTCAATGATTCGAATCTTGTTCCTTTACAAAATATGTTTATACTGTAAAGGTACCAATGTTGCATTGCCATCGAAAGCCATGTTGGAAACACAACTTCATGTCAGTTTTATGCAAGTTTGTCAATGGGCAAAATATCATTTTGTTGAAAAAATAGTACAGCTTCTTCATCCATTGGAAACAAGTTCATGTAATCAGAAATTCTCAATTTAAAATACATACTGAGCATGCGTAAAGATGCTCTGAAATTCACGCTCCTCCAGAAACCAAATCGGCTTTGATACTGCAATTGGTGCACTTATTAATCTCGTAAAAAGCACCAAACAAGACACACCAAATAAGTTGGCGATTCTGCATCTAGCCTACAAGTTCCAGCTTTTCTTCATAATTAAGTGGGTTAAAATCGTTTTAAAATAATCAAACATCAGTTGTTCGAAATCTTCGCAGAGAATTATGGGAAATGATTCTCTGCAAGTAATAGCAACTGAAACAATATTTGGCGATTTATCCATTGCATCCAGACACAGATGAAATATCGTCACTGTTATATGCAGCTGTGATAGATTTAAGCACCTATACACTTGCTTAATGTTTTTCATATGACCATTAAGTGTTTAGGAAAAGGATTGGAGAAATTAGGTTATTGCATGTTTTAGAAATAAAGCATTCAGCGACGAAGGAGAAAATTATATGTAAAACTACCCCACTAAAAGGGTGACTGGGGAGGAAAGAGGCATGGTCAACAAATGAGAGTGGTGTTACATTATTGGCCACCCCATATTAGTCGGGTACGACTGTAGATGTAATATACTTTTCCAGAGTTGGGAAATGTGGAAAACCAATGATGCCCATACAGGGGATTCAAACCACAGACCTTCTGATGCTAGGTAGACACAGTAGTATTTGCATGATGAAGGCATGCATTGAGGAAGAGAGAACTTAGGTTCAGTTATGATCAACACTCATGATGTTCTACTAAATATATAAAACTGACAAAGGAGATTCCTGACTATTATTTCTAAAGTTTTCATCTATTGTAATGTATTCATGCATAATGTAACATTAAACAATATCTTATGTCCGCATCAAGCGTATTAACATTTTTACTATGTATTATATGCATTCGTTGCATTAAGTGTATTTATAATTGTAATGTGTTTATATTGCATAATGTGTATATATTGTAAGCGTAATATAATTGTAATGTGTATATATTGCTAGCGTAATCTTAATCGTAATGTGTATATACGTCTTCTGCTTCATATATCCCATAATATATTATCTAAGCTCATAATATCTATTATCAGCACTTGCACATGTAACAATGTATCTGCATTCGTTATAACATTTGTTCTTGTAATTTGTACGAACAGCACAAATTCTATAATACTCAAATTATCTTTGCAATAGCATCTGCACATTATGTATATATTCACTGTAGTTAAATCTTTAATGCACCATCTTCTGTTTCGTATTCTGTTAATACATTTGTATACGTATTCTGCTCTGCATATCACAGTTTTAGTGTTGTATACTATTTCTAAAGTTACATCATGTTTCATGTATTTTATCAATGTACTTCAGGTCTCATGTATTGTATAAATGTATTGCATGTATTTTGTCCTGTATTTTATCAAGTATCGTGCTTTTACTGAGCTTTTGCTCACTGTCTGTACACCCTGTAGTAAGTACAGAATCTCTAAATACCTCAGTATTCCCAATGTACAACACTATCATGCATTTGCACTATGCTTAACGTTTATGTATCGAGTGAGGTGTTTGGGTATCTAATTATGCCTTATGTTTATGTATTTAATGTATTGTTTTCGTATCCCCCCCTTTTTTAAAACCCCTCTCTTTATGTCATACACTTGACTATTTATAACATGCTTAGGTATCCTAAACTGCAATGTAACACAATGACTCATCAGCACTGTTAATACTTTTATTAATTTCAATAATGTTGCTGTTTCTATACGGGAGAAGGTGTGGGACATATGCCTGTTTACCACTGTTAAACACCAGGCATCCCCGTCTTCCGTCACATTTCACCACCTGTCAGAAATGAATTTTATAATGTTAAACTGTAATGCTTTTGGACAAATGCGTAAAAAAAGGTGTCTTGCATATTTATTTTTTATCTACTGAAACAGTGCTCCACCACCACCACTACAACAACAACAACAACAAAAACATTAACTGAACATGGCTAAAACATATATATTAATTTTAATGCAGTTATTCTTTTCTTTTTCTCTAAATACATTTACATTATCTATTGAGAATATACAATATTAACCCTTTGGTGGCCATGAACAAGCTCAGATCTCATTCCACTTATGTACCGCAGTGAATGCAAACAAACAAACTCACATTGCAAATTTACATCGCCTCCACCAAACGGTTAACCCTTTTCTAAGGAAAAATATATTTGATAAAAAACAGTGAATTATAGTTTTGAATTTAGAAGACAATGCTATCTAGAAAATTTTTCATGACTGATGAGAATAAAAAGTTCATATATGTTCTATATATTTGAACTTATAAGCTTAATAAGCTAATAAAATACGTTTATTTTCTTTTCAGCTAAAAAGTTATTGAGTGTAGTCTTAACACCTAAAGACGTTGACTACACACTCATCCACTTTGGAGAACATTTAAACATTGTATTTATAGTTACCAAATCAAAATTTGCTGAATGTATAAAACATGAATTGACAGAGGATAATTATTTTTATTTTGATCCCAATTCAAAAGGTAAAGTTGCTCATTCTTTCTGCTTATCTGCTCTTTATGTTAAGCGAAAAATTGTGTATAACATGTTGAACGTAATACTCTCCTGTAATGGTCTTTATTTATTTAGCACAGCTTGAATGAAATTGATTGTATTCATTATATTCATTAATTTTTGGTATTTTTTTTAAACATTAATTTGGGGGGGGGGTAGGTTGAAAATTAAAAAAAAGTTCTTTTACATTTCTCTTTCAAACAAACAAACAAAAAAAAAAAAAAAAAAAAAGAGAGGGGAGTAGGCTATGTTATGATTGTAAATGGGATATGATACAAGTCTAGTCTGAGAGGATAGTTATTTATTTGTAAACAGTAGTGATACTGTAAGGTTAATAGATTTTAAGCAAATATGTACTGTCATTTCAACAAAAAACAACAAAGATTAATCAAAAGGTACTGAACAAGCAAGTAGGCATAGAATAACAGAAAAACTTGTGCTGATTTTAGCAGAATGATCATATGAGCCTCATATAATTTATGTGATCTTTTAGGAAAAATATTGCTTGAAATGTATATAATATTTTAAATTGAAAAGTGTAATTTTCCGCATGTGTATGATACTAATTTACAAAAATTATTGCAAGAAGTACAAGTCATATAAACACAAAGCTTTTAGGTAGTATTTCAGTAGTTTGAAATACGAGGGTAAGTTGAAAAATAAGTTTCCCCTGTCGACTGTGGTCAGAGTTGTGTAAGTCAAAACCTTACATACCTTTATTTTTCCACATAGGTACCAAGTACATTGAGACATTTGTCATATCGCTTGATAAGCTTCAAAAAGCCCTCCAGAAAAAAATCAGGGCTTTGCATATGGAAGAAGCGTTGAAAGGCATGTTTCACTTCAGTATTGCTTTCAAAGATCCTTCCCCCAAGATTTTTCTTCAAAGCCGGAAACAGATGGAAGTCGCTTGGTGCGAAATCAGGAGTGTATGGCGGATGGTGTAGGCGCTCCCAACCAAGAGTTGCAATATGGTTTTGCGTTGCCGTCGCCGAATGTGGTCTGGCATTGTCATCCAACAGCAGATTGCCAGATGTGAGAAGGCCAGGCCGCTTTTTCCGAATCGACTCTTTCAATTTCGACAGGGTGTCACAGTAGCGCGTAGCAGTGATGGTTCCAACCTCCAAAAAGTCCAGCAACAAAACTGCTTGGGCATCCCAGAAAACTGTGAGGAGCACTTTACCTGCAGAGGGAGCTGTCTTGAACTCTTTCGGACAGGTGATGACGGATGTTTCCACTCCATAAATGCGGCCTTCGATTCTGGCATGAAATGGTGGACCCACGTTTCATACGCCGTCACAATCCGAAACAGAAAGTCATTGCCATCTTCATGGTAACGCACAAGATGTTCCAGGTTGACCCCCATGCGTTGTTCCTTGTGTGTCGAGGTCAATTGTCGGGGCACCCATCGTGCTGACACTGTTCTGTATCGAAGAATGTCGTGGATGATGTTTTGAGCTCGCTCATGTGAGATTCCAAGTTCTTCCTCTACTTCATCGATGGTGATACGCCGGTTCGCTCTAATCATGTCATTCACCTTCCTGACATTTGCACCTGTAGTGGCCGTCCAGCTCTCGGTATGTCCTCCACTTGCTGACGTCCATCACTGAATGTGCGACACCATCTCCACACCATTTGCGCGTTTTCCTGCTGTGTCGGCTTTTGCCCATAGCCGTTCAATGCTTCTTCCATATGCAAAGCCTTGATTTTTTCCTGGAGGGCTTTTTGAAGCTTATCAAGCGATATGACAAATGTCTCAATGTACTTGGTACCTATGTGGAAAAATAAAGGTATGTCATATCTTTAATGTCTCATTCTATTTTTTGACACAACTCTGACCACAGTCGACAGGGAACTTATTTTTCAACTTACCTACGTACTTTTAATGATATACAGTCAAAAGTCGTTAATTCGGATACCCATAATCCGGAATGATCTATAATCCGGACCTCAAAGCTAAAATCTATCTGCGCATGCGCCACGTTGATGCATGCGCATAAACGTTTACACGTGCGCGCAATACCTTTACATATGTGTCTGCATTTTTTGCAGACTTGTAAGAGCAATTTTATAAAAGTAAGCTTGAACTTTCGATTATGTCAAATAGAATTTCCAATGCTGGAGCTCCTAAAGGATCTAGAAAACGAAAGCATGTTTCGATGTCCATCAAACAAAAAGTGAATTGCTACAAAAAATGGATAAAGGCATATCCTTTGCTTATCTAACTGTTCCGAAATCTGTTTATCAATTTCCCGCTGCTCTGCGCGAGGGGAGGGGGACAACGTGGCGCGCAATGAAGTGGAAGTTGATCTGTCAGCACTATCGTTATCTTCAGGGCAGATGTTTTTATTTTATTCGGCTTATAATTATTTACTAAATGTAGTATTTCATCTCGATGTACTCCTTCTTTGATATGATTTAAATCAAATTCCTCGTCATTATAAATATCACGAATACAAATTAAATAGTTTTCTGGTTGCAATTTTCTAATTTCGGCTATGCGTAATGTATGCTTTACGCATGCACGCATTGAAAGAAATGTTTAATAAAGTAAACAAATAAATATTAAGCTTCTTTTTTTTTGTAAATTTTGATACCCTTTAGATCATAATTGCTCATTATTTTATAAATTACGGTTTCATATTTTTAATTTTATAATTTCTGCATGGCATCTTACCAGATTTAAACTGATGATGTATAATCCGGAATTGCCGAAGTCCCGACAAGTCCAGATTAAAGACTTTTGACTGTACAAACATTTTACTGCTTGAAGTATACGTCTGGAACTCAATTTTGATCCATCTATGCTTTGAATTGACTTCAAAGCAATCTCTATTACTTTTAATTGCTTAATTGTTCGAATGTACCTGCATATTGCGTGGACGTTATGTTTTAGTACTAACATTACTAAAACATAACGTCCACGCAATATGCAGGTACATTCGAACAATTAAGCAATTACTGTTTTCGCAAAATTTCATATTCATATTTAATTTCTTATATTGCTGAAATAGAAATCATTGCCACTTCGTTCATAGGGAATACTTGTTTTTGAATCTTCGAAAATTCTTAAATTAATAGACCTGTTTAGCTTAAAATTGTTGAAGTTGTTAAATTTGAATCTGAATATGAAGATCAGATTGTAGTTTTTAATTTCTATGATTTTTATAGTCTTTTGAAATTTTTTTATGTCAAACTCTTTCATGCTGCTAGACAGTAAGAGCACGTTTTCAATTTTTAATGTAATGTAAGTAATTTGTTCTTTTGCACTTCTTCATTTTTAATTTTGAAAAACGAGTTTGTTTGTGTCAGGCAATTGATTTTTGAGGTAAAATAGCTCTCAGTTTTCATTGAAAGCTGACTAGAAATTCGGATTTAGCCACTTAGGGCTTATTTCCTAAATTAGCATTTATAGAAAGGGTATTCAGATTTAACTATTAAAATATATCTGGGAAATAATCTAGATCACTTATGCCCAAGTGTTAAATTTTTCAACTAGTTTATTTTTTTGATTTTATCTCTCTCTGTATAAACCAATTGTTTAAAAATATGTTTATAAGTTAATTTTTAATGAGCTCTATAATTATTATTCATCATTTTCCCAATTTAGATCAAAAATGTAAATTTATTATATTATGGATTGATTCCATAACAGAAAATCAAGTGGAATTCTTAAAATACGGTTTTTCTGGAAAGACAAATATTAAAGAGATAGATCAGGAAACAGCCAGTGAAATATTAGTTAGGTCAACTCCTAGACAGGTAATTTTTTTAAAATTCTTTTATATGTTCATAATATTCTCATCACGATTTTTTTATAATAAGAAATATTGTCTATACTCTTCTTTTATCTATAGGATCCATTGGTTTATTTAATGGGGGATTGCCTGATTTATCCTAGGGATGTTTTGATCCATCTAATGCCATAACCCCTTGACTGCCGCTGGCGTATATATACGCCTTGCTCAGCCGATGCGTTAACTGCCCCAGATGCGCAGCCGATGCGTTAACTTTGCGAATAATTTTAGGTGTAGCAGCGCAAAGCAAATGATAGCAGTTTGGAAGGACGTATATATACGCCTGGGGCAGTTAACGCATCGGCTGAGCAAGGTGTATATATACGCCCGCGGCAGTTAAGGGGTTAAAATGATTTCAAAGCAAACTCGATTTCTTCATTTGCTTAGTTTGTTCGAATGTACCCGTATTTTGTATGGATTTTATGTTGTTATTACGAACATTTTAAAAAGGGTATTAGTAACAAAACAGAGGCTATATATTAGTTACTGTTTTCATAACATTTCATAATATGCTGAAATGGAAATCATTGCCACTTCGCTCTCTCTCTCTCTCTCTGTATATATATATAATTTTAACCATTGTCTTAATAAATGAAGCAAATGGAAAATTGTGACATCTGTTATAAATGTTTAAGAAAAATTCTACTGCATTTATAGTTTAAGAAAATGCAGAGACATTAGGTTATTTCAAAGAAGAGACATGAAAAATGAGCAGTGTCCTCGCCGGGACTGGAACCTCAGACCTCTCGAATACGCACTGAGTATGCTGACAATTACACAATGAAGGTTTTCTAAGAAGATGAGAGAACTACCTTATATACTTCCCCTTTCTGAAGGGCGACTAGGGATTAAAGGACCCAATCGCCAAATCCTTGTAGTGAAGAATCATGATTCATCACCTTTTATTTCAGGCGCCACTGTAGTTTCGAAGCACGAGATATGAAAAATGGGCAGTGCCCTCGCCGGGACTCGAACAACGGGCCTCTCGAATACGCGCCAAGCGTGCTGACCATTACACCATGAAGGCATGTTCTCCACCTTCAAAAATACCTAATCGCTTTACAGTGCACCCAAACTAAAATAGGTAATGGATGATAATTCTCCACCACCAAGATTTTTCAATTAGGTCCCATAATACCCAGTTGCCCTTTAAAAGGGGGGTATATAAAGTATTTCTCCTGTCTTCTTAGTATGCCTTTGTGTAATAGTCAGCTCTCTCGGTACGTATTCGAGAGCTTCATAGTTCGAGTCCCGGCAAGGGCATTTCTCATTTTTCATATCTCCTACTTCGAAAAAAAAAAAAAACCTAATATCTCTACAACTAGATCATTTTGAAGCAGGAGACGTAAAAAATGTGCAATGCCCTTGCCGAGACTCGAACCCTAGACTTCTCGAATGTACATCGAGTATGCTTCTAGTTACAGAACAAAGGCAATGGCAGGATGGAGAAAATACCTTATATAGTTTTTTTTTTAGAGGGCGACTGGGGGTTAGGGGATCCAGGCACCAAATCCTGGTGGTGCCGAATTATCGGCCACCACCTTTTAGTTTGTAAGTCACTTGTACATTCATTAGCTTATTTTAAAGTAGGAGTTGTGAAAAATGTGCAATGCCCTCGCCGGGACTCGAACCTGGATCTCTCGAATACGTGCCGAATGTGCTACAGTTACACCACGAAGCCATGATGGAAGGAGGGAGAAAATATGAACATTTTTGCCGAAATAAAAATAATTTTGTGCAGATAGAGCTAGAATATCTGCTTGAAATGCTCAAAGAAATAGAAATTTTTTTTCAGCTTTCAATCTAATGCTCATTTTCATTTGTTGAGATTGCCCTGCATCAATGCTAAATTTTTATTGTTATTGAATTCGTATGTATTCATATGTTAAATGTATGCACTAATTGGACATTTTTGGTCTTAGCTGTTGATGTCATTAAGTATCAGTCCGTTTGGCATTTTCCTTGCTGTGGCTACTGTTCACGCATTCCCTCAGTAGTGTTATTCATTATTAGCTCTACTCTTTCAGAGAATAAGACTGGGATACCATATTTATTAAACACCGAAGAACTTATCATAAATATGAGTCAGAAACGGAAAACAGACAAACACAATAAAAAAGCATTTAACTAGTCTAGTTTTTTTTATCCTTGATTTTCTTTTGCAGCTTATACATGACATGATACTGTAACTAGAAAGTTAAAAATGGTCGATAAAAAATACAAAATGAAAACTTCATGAATGATTAAGTGGTTTTATACATGAGCTATTACAGTCAGTTGTAGAGTCATTGCATTGCTCTCACCGGCACTCGAACCTTGGACCTCTCGAACACGCGTTGAGTATGCTTTCCAATTACACCGTGAAAGCATGCGAAAAAGAAGAAGAAAGTACCTTATATACTCCCCCTTTTAAAGGGTTGCTGGGTATCACCAAATCCTGGTGATTACAAATTATTATCCATCATCTTTTAGTTTGGGCGCCACTTATTAAGTCATTAGTTTTTTTTTTTTTTTTTTTTTTTTTGCTAAAGACGTGAAAACTGAGCAAAATACCCTCGCCGGGACTCGAACCTAGACCTCTTGAATACGCATCGAGTGTGCTATGCCACGGAAACATGTTGGAAGGAGGGAGAAATTACCTTATATAATTTGACTGTTAGGCGGACTGAGCTTCGCCCGATACTGGTACCTTATACAGTCAAAAGTCTTTAATCCAGACTCATCGGGACTTCGGCGATTCCGAATTATCGGTTTTTCTGGATTATAGATCATCAGTTTAAATCTGGTAAGATGGCATACAGAAATTATAAAATTAAAAATATGAAACCGTAATTTATGAAATAAAGAGCAATTATGATCTAAAGGGTATCAAAATTTACAAAAATAAAGCTTAATATTTATTTGTTTACTTTATTAAACATTTCTTTCAACACGCGCATGCGTAAAGCATACATTACGCATAGTCGAAATTAGAAAATTGCAACCAGAAAACTATTAGATGTGTATTCATGATATTTATAATGATGAGGAAATTGATTTAAATTATATCGGAGTACATCGAGATGGAACACATTTAGTGAGGAATTATAAGCCGAATAAAATAAAAACATCTGCCCTGAAGATGAGGATAGTGCTGACAGATCAACATCCAATTCATTGCGCGTCGCAACGTTCCCCCCTCTTCCACAGAGCAGCGGGAAATTGATAAACAGATTTCAGAATGGTTAGAGAAACAAATCACACCTCTCTGTCACTTTTTTCATGCCTTTATCCATTTTTTGCAGCACTTTTTGTTTAATGGACATCGAAACATGCTTTCACTTTGCAGATCCTTCGACAGCTCCAGCATTGGAAATTCTATTTGACATAATCGAATGTTCAAGCTTACTTTTATAAAATTGCTCTTACAGTCTGCAAAAAATAATAAGCTGGATCCAATTTGACGATTAAGGAACAACGCAATCTGCAACATTACCTGAAATAGATAATTAGATAATTTTAGCTTAGCTTATACCGTCCGTTATACATTAAATGCGCATGTGTAAACGTATTATGCGCACGCGTTAACGCATTATGCGTTGACGCACGCACAGAAAGTTTATAGCTTTGAGGTCCTGATTACCGACTTTTGACTGTATAACTTTTTCCGACCTTGAATGTTCATAACTCGATACGATGGTGATCGTCATCCGAAGCATTTCTTGTTCACATAATTCCTGCTTGAACCAAATTGATCATTATGCAAGCTGTTTGTGATCCGAGGTTCCCACTGTACATTTCTTGGAAATGTACTGTAAAATTTTTCATCAATAAATTAGAATATGCATGTAGTAAACAAAATGCATAAGTTATTCTGGTTTTGAAACATCATAAAATTAAATCAGATGAGATAATTATATTTTAATTCAGTTAGGAAAATTATAAAAATCAGACTTCTTTATGACTCTTTCAACTACAGGGGCAAATTTCTTTATTTATTGGACTGCAAGGCACTGTATACTTGAAAGAGTCTAGGCGGGCAGTAATTTTTAAAAAAAGAGGGATTTTCTTATTTGCTTTTCTTACTTTTTGAATAATACAACTAAGTTTGAATTTAGAACTATGTGATTTGTTGTCTTCTATGTTTTAAAATGTTTCTTAAATGAGACATTTCATTGCCATTGAAAATGCATCTGCTATAGCTTGCTCCTGCTTTATTAGTGCATTATTATTAAATGAATTATATGAAATATCAATGTTATTATTAACCCTTTCAGGACGGGCGTCCCATATACGCATTCCCTAAGAGTGTCTCTTACATCCGGGCGTCCCATTCACGCATCAGTAAAGATCGCATTCAGAGGACGGGTGATGCGTATACTCATTTTAAGGTGGAACGTTTTTCTGAAGGCCACTAGATGGCATCCTGTGTCCATTACTTTTGAAATGAACACAGTTTTAGGTTCCTGACCTTGAGTTTGATATATTCTGCTTGCTTTGGTATTTTACTCATCAGCTGTTCGAGAGTGGGGGGGGGGCATAGGGAAAGCGTAAACAGAGGTGGGCTCTTTAAATCGCTGCGTGCTAATGAAAAAATTCTCGTATCTAATTTATATCCAATTCTATTTTTTCCTCTACTATGTACGGTCTTTTAGGGTTACTGTGCAGAGTTTTTTTACGTTTTGCATTGCCTTCAGATATATTTCCGTTCCTTCTTTTTTTATGTAGAAAAGCCTCACCTCCAGTCTATTATGGCATGAAGGCCCTATTTATCAGAGGAAGAATACCCTCGTATGGTTAGTGAACCATTTACTAACGCAAATGAGAATACTGATTCATTTTCTAAAGCGATAAAAGTGATACTTTTCTAAGAGTTGCAAAGTGATACTTCTCTGTGCCACACTCGTTTTCATTTTAAATTTTGTTACTTCTTACTGCAAATAGTCTTTATTTTGTTCTTTTTATTAATTTAAAACTTTATTGATGGATTTTATCAATTAAAACTTTGGAATAATTTGAATAGTGCTTCCGAAAATTAGTTTAGAAGATAAGCAATTTCTTAAGTACAGTCAGAAGTCGTTAATCCGGACTCGTCGGGACTTCGGCGATTCCGGATTATCGATTTTTCCGAATTATAGATCATCAGTTTAAATCTGGTAAGATGGCATGCAGAAATTATAAAATTAAAAATATGAAACGGTAATTAATGAAATAAAGAACAATTATGATCTAAAGGGTATCAAAATTTACAAAAAAAAAAAAAGCTTAATATTTATTTGTTTACTTTAATAATAAACATTTCTTTCAATGTAAATTGTTTAAGTTGCTTCATTTTTTATGTGATAATACTTTCTCTTTAATTCTATAAACAGACATAATTTCTTGTTCAGTTACAAAGTTCCGCTGTTCAAGTCCTATAATTGCTGTGTCGAGAATACCGACTAATTTGTCAATCGAAATTTTTTTTGGTTTTCAATAACCTCTTCACTATCGGAAGCGAATTATAATGACGGGGAACTTGATTTAAATCATATCAAAGACAGAGTACATCGAGATGAAATACTACATTTAGTAAGGAATTATAAGCCAAATAAAATAAAAACATCTGCCCTGAAGATCAGGATAGTGCTGACAGATCAACTTCCAATTCATCGCCTGCCGAGGCGTTCCCCCTCCCCCGCCGCAGAGCAGCGTGAAATTGATAAACAGATTTAGGAATGGTTAAATAAACACAGGATATGCCTTTATCCATTTTTTGCAGCAATTCAACTGTTTGTTTAATGAACTTCAAAACATACTTTAGCTTTGTAGATCTTTTACATATTAGTAAATATATATCAGAAATTCTATTTGACATAATCGAAAGTTCAAGCTTACTTTTATAAAATTGCTCTAACAGTCTGCAAAAAATAATAAGCCGGATCCAATTCGAAGATTAAGGAACAACGCAATCTGCAACATTAACTGAATTAGATAATTTTTACCTTATACCGTCCGTTATACATTAAACACGCATTTGTAAACGTATTTTGCGTATGTGCAGACCTATATTCGCAGACGTAAAGTTTTTACGATGTCAATTCAACGCATGCGTAGAAAGTTTGTAGCTTTGAGGTCCGGATTATGGGTGTCCGAATTAACGACTTTTGACTGTATATTTTTAAGTAAAATAAAGAAAAAATGTTTTAAGGGCTAATTTTAACATATATAAGAGCTCAAGTAATAATCTAAAATGATACCAAAAATTACGATGCTAGAAGCAAAACTTTTGTTTTTCTGATTTTTGTTATAAAATTAGGCTTAGCAATGCAAAACCTTCATCCTGTACGGTGACTGCCTTCGATTCTCTTCCCATCCCGCACGAGCATCTTAAACAAAGGTCGCAAAAAGGTTAAATGAAAAATAAATTGGTTGATCTACTTACATTTTGATTTTGGGGGGGGGATCATGAAAATCTGCTACAGAATGTGCTACATATTTTAATGGTTGCTGTAATTTTCGATTTTGTGCATATTCATACTGGTTTTTTAAATATTACATTTATTTATTTAGGAACCTGTAATCAAGTTTCCTCCTGAAGAACAAATCACACAGAAATCATCAGGATTTGAGTAGGTTTTTTTTTTTTTTTTTTTTTTTTTTTTTTTTTTTTTTTTTTTAATTCAGTATTATTTATATAAATATGCTAAAATTATACGCTATTCCTTTTTTGCCTTACATTTTGGATGTATTTCATTCGCAGGATTATTATTTATCCGACCCCTCCACAAATTGGCGGCATTGTTGTAACTAGAAAAGACTTTGCCACTTTAAACGAAAAAGAATATCTAAATGATGTTATTATCGACTTTTATTTGAAGTAAGAATTTTATTTTGTGAGAAACTTGTGAAAATTAATTTGTTTTCAATATGTATTCTGCTTATTCAGTATTTTTAAGGCTTATAAATTATATAATCCAAACATTCATGTTTGTATGTGTTTTCTGATAAATGTAAATGAATAAAGCAAAGCCATATAGGTGTAAAATGCAAAACATTAAGCACAGTTTTATTATTATTTAGATTAAATATTGATTAAAACGAAATTTATCACTTTTCATATTATATGTACCAAAATAATAGTGCATGTAAAAGTATCATTTTATTTAATCTGAAAAAAAAAAAAAATTGGAATTTCTTGAAAACTATTTTCTGCACGTTTGAGGCATTATCATATTAACTTAACTAATCATCCCTCTCACATCCATGTAAATGTGTAGCATCATTCTTTTCATTTGCTTTACGGTTATTTTTCTACTAATGACAGTTCTTTCTTATCCTCCCCCTTCATGCCGAATTCATTCTGCTCGTAAGAGCGGTAGCAGCTACATCATCTTGCATTTGAATTCAACACATACCTAACCGAGATGGGTAGTAAGTAGTTTTAATTAAGCAAGATGAATTTGCATCTGTATAAAGCATCACTATTTTTTAGTATACTGAACAAAACAGAAGCCAGAAAATTTAAGATGTCATAAGATGTGTAGTTGCAAAGTAAAGTAACAGGAGTAAGCCAGAAAATTACATTATAAATGATTCTCTCTAAAAGTGGGAAGCTGACTTTTACTACAGGAAATTCAATATTTTTCATTCTGTCAAAATTTGCATACTGCAATTCTGAAAAAGTATCTGGTGACTTTGTAGGGAACTATTCACTTATTTAACTAAACTTGGTATTGCCATGTCTATTATAATAACTACAATCCAGAAAAAGGTTTAATTAAAATTTTGTATTAAAACATTAACCTTAACAAATGCATGGCTTGTGCTTACCAAAAAATACCCTCCATACAAACAGTACTTACTCCGCTGCTTGTGGGATTTAACCTAGCATTTAATGCAACTCGAAATCTTGTTAATATAATACAAAAATTTCAAGCTAATCTATTTCTTGAGCAAACTTTGCTAGCAAACGCTAACATTGGTCTAAGTGACCCTCAGTGCTGGAAGGAAGTATCACAATATTCAGAGTCGCTCCCAAATCTTTTTCCGATATTTTCAAGAGCTTAAATATATGTGACTAATCTGCATCTTGGTAAGAGCTGATGAAAGCAGAAGTGTTAGCACAAATAAAATAATAATTTTATTAACACAAATCTTACAACTTATAAAAATTACATGTAGCGAATTTAATTTTCCTGCTTCAGTGCTGCCCAGATGTGAAAGCGGTAGTGACACACTGCCGTACCGAAGGGCGCGGATTCGAATCTCAGGAAAGGCATAGATATAAATTATCTGTCGCCTCATAGGTGTCAAAGGCGGCCCACCTATTAATTTAACTATTAGGTGCCTCTGTAATAGACCACAGCTTTTGGCCTAATAGTAGCCTATGCCTATAACGGCTACTGCCCGCCATTGAAAAAAAAAAACAAATTCTGCTTCATTTAACTTTAATGAACTCGTAGACGCTACTTTTATGAAATTCTAAATATTAGCCTCTAAAAATGACATAATAATGTATTGTATAAAAAGTCTGATGAATTTTCTTTTCACTAAAATATGGTACAACCCATGAAAATCTTTTTATTAAAAATTTCTTTTGTGTTACAAATGTTAATTGCAGTGAAATTTTCCACATTTTGTATTTGTTAATTAACTTATGATATTTTCAGATATTTTTTAGATCAACATCCTGCTGAAAGTGAAAAAACTCATTTATTTAGTTCTTATTTCTACTGCAGCCTGACGCAAAAATCAAGCTTTGACAATGGCCAGGAAAAGTATGTATTACTTCTTTAATTTTCTTCCCCCTTAAAATAGTGTATAAACTTAAGCAACTTTTTCAGGTTTTTAAAATCATGATTAACAGTTTTATTCATAAGATAAATAACTAAAAATAGCACATGGAAAATATAAACACAAATCAAAATGTTCTTTTACATATTAAGATTATCACAGATCATAAATTTGCTCGCAAAACAAAGTCTAAAGCAGTAATCACTGAGTGGTAAAATAAGTAGCACTTACATTCTATAACAAACTAAGAACGTATTATAGCAACTCCCCAAAATTTGATCACAAATCAACCGAGATGTAACATGTAGCGAGGTATAAGAACATGTGGCGAGATTTCAGCGTGAGAAATCTCAATTGATTAGCGATTCAATCTTGGGGACCACTAAAATAAGAAAGAACTCAATCTCGAGGACTGCTATAATAAGAACCTTAACTTAGCTAATAATTTTGAACTGACTTAAGCTCCAATGCAGTCTCCTGTTTACACCATTGCCCAAAGAGAAAGAGAGGTACTAGTAGAACTTTAGAAGCAAACTTGTAAACACTGTAGTACCATCCTGAAACATGTATTGCCGCCAAACAGTTTGGTTTAACGTCAATAATAGACAACGTAATCGTAAGATTTATTGCATTATTAGCTTTGCAACAACAAAATATTTCTAAGAAAACGTAACCCCCTCCTTCAATTTTCATAAATGAAAGAGGCCAGAGGGTATGGCCTCTGTAAGGTAGAACTTCCTTATCCCATCATTTTTAACCTAAGTAGCAACTCCTCACCTCCACAGAAATCTTATATTCGGGCATTCCTTTCTGGGTTTTTTTTTTTTTTTTTTTTTTTTTTTTTTTTTTTGACCATGCTTCTCACATAAGATATTACATAGAAAATTAAGATTGAAGTAATTAAATAGTTATTTAATATTAATTTAAAACAAAAAATAATTTTACCTTTTTTTTACGTAGAACATAGCTTAAATTTTTGTAAAAACTAAAATCATTCTCAATTCATATCATCATACTATGTTATCAAAATCTAACTGCACCTACTTTTTCTCCTAAACCCCACCTACTAACTGACATGCACTGAATTGTGCGGAGAATTTGTAAGAGTCAAATCTTAAACTGTGTAAAAGCTGTCAGCACATTGGTAAATTTGTAACAAAGAGTAAAAACAAAATCAAACTACTAAATTTCAGATTGCTTGTATTTTATTTAATTATTAATATCTCTTCTCTTTGATTAAAAAAAGTTATTGCTCTTTTTTAGTATATCACAGTTTCAGCTTACTATAAGGGGTTTGGATATAAAATCAAAGCAATTGTAAAATCTGTAAGAATTAATTTAAAATTCTCTAATGTTGCACGTCCTACACTGAGATTGCACAATATTTCCAGTTTGTGGTACATTACATATAGGGTGGGTTATAAATTTTAGATGAGACTTCTGATATTCAAATTGATAACACTGTCTAGAAATTAGGCCAGAAATATTTTTTCTTTCATTCATTTGACTTTTCTAGAGAAAGTTGCACTTTTTACACACTCAATTACACATAGAATTTTTTCTTTATCCAGCATTTGACATTTCGAGCTTTCCAGATACTGGAGCTTTTGCCGTATATGAGCTTGGAAAAAAAAAAAGCAGGAGAGAGGAATGAGTTGTTCTTGGAAATACAGGAAATTTGTTTGTTATGCCTGTAAATGATAAATTAAAGGCTAAAGCATTATCTTATGGCGATGTTTTATCGCCAATACACTCCATCAGAAAGGCGTAAGAATCGCAATACTTTAGTTAAGAGTTTAAACCAACTTTATCAAACATTTAAAACAGATAATCACATCTCTCGAGAGGCTATATATTTAACATTAACGAGCACGAGCTGACATCAGACATCGGCAATGAACAAGCAATAAAAATGCAGGAAGTAAGTGGTAAGTCTTGGCTAAAAAGTTAAAGTTTTTATACTCGCGCTATAGCAATCACATATGCATTTTGCACACAAAAATGAACGTTGCCCTTTACTGCAATGAAGATTTCCCCCACAATCCAAAATGTTTAATTGTTAAAATTCTTGCCTTCTTTTTTAAAAATTACAGTTGCATTTTATTTGCCAGAAGTGTAAATATACTATATACATGTGTTACATAAGGGCAACTGAGATTTCAGTAATGTATTTTACTAGTTACGTTGCTTAAATTTAAATGTAACGTTTTTAACCCTTTAAACATGACATATTTTCATACAATTCTTTTCATAATTATTTGTTTTTTGTTGCATCATTATTTACAAAGTGTTTTAAATATTGGTATCAATAATTTCATATTTTTTTAATAATTTTTTTAATTTTTTCAAAATTTAATTTTTTTATGCATTATAACATTGTCTAAAATGCAGATACTTTACCGTATTTGTGACCTTCTCCACAAGTGAGCATTTCTTGGCGATAAAGCTTGCATTCATTTGCATTATAAAACTGCATATATGTTAGTAATTTATACTACAAATTTATAAGACGATCATTTTATTTACACAAAATCGCTTATTTTTTCATGAATCATTTTAAAAATTCAACAAGAAAAATTCATCATAAAATACTGTAAGCATATAAAAAAGGGTATGAGAAAATATACTAGAATTATATTTAAACTCTTCAACAAAGATAACAAAGGTACTACTCATTTTACAAAAAATATGTGCAAAATGGAAGCTAAAAACTTTCACAAGGGCTTGTATTTTGTCTTGCACAAAGTTCTAGAACAAATAATTGGGAGTGTGAAATCAAATTTATAAGATTTTTAAAATGCTGTTATCTATTGATTATATTTGCATCTAAAATAGGCACAGAAGCAGTAAAAATGAACAGTGCAATAGTTTTTCCCACTTCATTCTATGAACAGCTGAGCCCGCAAGATGCATAGACACAAGAAAATCATTTTGAAATGATTCTATATATGTGAGCCAGATGCAGTGGTTAAGGGTTTCATGAAACAAATATTAGACAAGATGTAATGTTTATTGGAGGAACTAAACAGGAACAAGCGAAATATTCATAAAATTCCAGGAGTGCAAATGACGAAAGAGAAGCCAATCATAAAATAAGATAAGGCGATAAGAAGAGGTCCGAAGTCAAGCTACTCGCGTTTTTATTGATGAAAAATGAAAACAACTTTTGAATTGATTTTCTTAAAAGTGCAAAGAATCATCCTCTAAACCTAGTGTATTGAATTGCACTTACTCCTACCCGTTAGCTAGATAATTAAATTTCTAGAATTTCAACTTTGTTAGTTAATAACACTTACAATATAAAAGTTCAATAGAAATACAAAACAAAAAAGTAAAAAGCATTTCGCCAAGAAATTTCGTATTAGTTTCTTTTGATTGAAAATCATAATTCATCAATGCTTCAATAGGAGGTGCACTTAATGTCTAGAAAAAAAAACTCTGAGAATTTCATTTCTCCTGTATCGAAATTTACGAATTAATTTCCCTTACTCAACTCTGTCTGAAACATTACACATTTTCTGAAACCTCAATCCACATTTTGTTTTCCAAAATAAGCATTACAAGCAAACTGAGGAATTAGTCATGAGGAAACCCTCTCAGTCCTTTCCTTGATCTTGGAAAGTCCTCCACGAAGGCATCCCTCCCCTTAGGCAGATAGCCCTAGTGTGCTTTGCCATAATTAAATAAACCAAACCAAATCAACCTTTCCTTGCTGATATCTATGATGTGCTATTATTAATCAAAATTATTTGAAATTTAAAATTTCCCTGTGTAGTTCCACTACTTTGACAGTAAATTTTAATCTGGTGGTAATAAAAATGATTTAAATAAAGTTTTTTCAGGAATGAATTCCATTTAGCCTACCACTGAGTACACTTTTGAACTTGAGATATCCATTTCTCGACATCTTCGTCACACGCAATATATCAAACTTCAGTACTACTGTTTACTGTAAACCTTTAATTTCTTGCCTTCATTCGTGACGTTCAACTTCATAAACTTCAAATAATGACATTCGACTAATGAGAAGTAAGCTTCATTTCATTCCTTTGGTTTCCGTGTACTACAGGTTTGCTTCTCCAAATTGGCTAAGCAGTTGCTATTGACAGAAGCTTTTCACCTAACTTTGACCAATCGGTAAATAAATTTTCTCCTCAACACATCAAAAAGCACCCTCTCGTTTTACGAGATGATAAGAATTCTAATGTCATTTCTTTCTTTCCATTGATTTGCTATAAAATTGAATGAGTTTTGCAGAAATTAAACTTTTGGGTCATTTTTTTTTCTGTCAATAAAATTTACAGTTCCATACTTAAGTACACCATTTGGGATATGAACTCCTGGGGTATATAGATGATTTATTGCCAGTGTGGTTTAATTTACATTGATCAAAGACAGCCTTAAATTTTTGCACTAAGGAATATGAGGTATATGTTTGGGGGAGGGACACATAAAACATCTGTTGCCCAACATTGTTTGTCAGAAAATCATATTTCCAGTTTTTCTGCAGACGAAAGTATTCAAAAGTCATCTTCCGTTTGCTAAATAAATTTTCTACAGCCGTTTCAAGATTCATAAAAAATCTTTCAGGTTTAGTCAACGATCACAAATCCAAGCCATTTTTACCTAGCTTTTAAGGATATTATTTCGTAGTTGTTTTCATTTTTCATTAGTAGCGGGCGCTCATTCTTATTGCCTTATCTTATGATTCGTTTCTTTTTCATCATTTGCCTTCTGCAGCTGAAGAAAAAGGTTCTATATTTAAACCTTCAAAACAGTTCCTCCAAATTTATGAATATTACACTGATTCTTGTTCCTTGATTCCTCCAATAATCATTATTTGTTCAAAGTATAACCTGTTTTGGTTTATAAACTTTTTAGAACGAAAAGTTCTACATCAGTGAGGGTTCAGCATTATCGTGAAATAAGGCAATTTGATTCAGTTGATTTTATAAATATATTCGATTTTCGTAACTTTATTTTGTAAGAAAATTAAATTTAAGAAATGAACGTATTATGTTATAAAAGATAATAATATGATAAAATGATAAAATTTCCTCCAGATTTAATGAGACGAAAAAATTCTTGTTTATTTTATTATCAGTTGATCCAGAAGTATCATCTGTATTATTGTTGATCAGAGCTAATTCATATCACCCTAAGATTCATAGTTGCTTATTATGTAACAGTGATTCTAATTTTTGCTTTTCATCACTTGGGGTATACATAAACAGTAATTCTTTTCTCAAAGTGACTCACAAAGTGCAGATCTCTTCAAAGTAATTTCCTTTCATGAAAGGCCTAACACCATATTTTAAAAAAAGGTGATGGATCTACATTGGCTTATTCAATTTTGAGCTTTTGAATTTCATTTTGATGCAAACATGTCACATCATATATTGCTGTTTTAAGTATTTCGCTGCACAGGATCCAAATAATGTTATTAGTATAATAAGTTGCGTTAAAAAAGGAATCTGGAATGCAAAGAGACTTTAATGCATTTAGATGAGTTAGAGATATATGGGAAATATTGGTATTGGTTCATGTTTATAATTCCCTATTTTCTTGCCACATACAATGTCCATATTTTCTTTTCAATAATATCTTAATATAAAAATGAATGTATTTTATGACTCATTTCAGTAACAACAATAGCGCAGGGCATTGTGTTTAAGTAATAAAGCGGATTGCATAGATAAGACACATGTTTAATTTAATAACTGCACATTTTATTACATTTGTTACTAAGTTGCAAACTTTCTTTTAAATTCAGAGTTAAAGGATCCCTCCAGCTTGATAATTTAGCTAAAATGCATTTTTTAGCTTCATTTCATTCTCTACATTTTGTAAAAATATCTGTCAAGTTCTTTATGCTAATTCTATTACAAACAACGTAATAGTCATTAGTTTTTTTTTTTTTTTTTTTTTTAAAGCAGAGACATGATAAATTAACAATACTCTCGCCGGGACTCGAACCTGGATCTCTCGAATGCATGCCAAGTGTGCTACCATTATTTCACAAAGGCATGCTGGAAAGAGGAAGAAAATACTTTATATACTACCCCTTTTAAAAAGCGACTGGGATTAGGAGACCGATTCGCCAAATCCTGGTGGTGAAGAATCATCATTCACCACGTTTTTTAGTTCGGGTGCTCATTAGGTTTTTTTAAGCAGGAGACATAAAAAATGAACAATGCCCTTGCTGGGACTTGCACCTGGAGTTCTCGAATACACGGCAAGTGTGCTACCATTATTCCACAAAGGCATGCTGGAAAGAGAAAGAAAATATTTTGAGTAAAATCCCATTTATGGGAAGAAAATTTGTTGAATTGAATTTGATTGGATATTTTTATTATATGAAATTTTGCTGTGAAATTTAAGATTCAAAGAATTAATAACAAAAGTAATTAACCTATGAAACATTTTATCATATTATTTGTTGCTGTTATTTTTTAAAAATACCAGAGCACACTATTGAAATTATCTTTAAGTTTTCAGTTTCTAATATTTTAGTGAAGGTTCTTAAATGCATATCATAAATGTTATGTTTTTTAAATGTAATTGTTAATAATAAAATTTGTACTTAAAAATTTTTAGGATTCAACATCACAACAGAGTCCATAGATGGACGAAGCACGTTGATATATTTTCCAAAGATTTCATAATAATCCCCATTAACCAAAATAGACATTGGTTCTTGGCAATAATTTGTTTTCCTGGTCAAGTTACAACTAATAGTGATGCCAAAGAAGATAGTGAAGGTGAAGGTACATATACATTCAGATTTCTTTATCTCAAAACAAATGTTTTTAATCTGATAAAAATATAATACTGCTATTTTCTACGCTGATTTCCTTTTTAATTTTTAAGCATGCAATCAATTTATTAAAGTATAACTATATAGCATGTTGTGTTTTAAAATAGTGTTATTAAATATTTTAAATTAGCTTGTTCTCTACTAAAAGGAATATATTTGAAAAATCAATATGAAGCTTATTTTGTACTTCATTCTACATTCAAATAACACATTTCATCTTGTTACATAAAACTACAAATGTAATTTTTATGTTTAAAAATAGATAAGCACAATATCAGTATAATCCTTTGTATATAGCCTGAAGTGTTTGTAATAGGTCTGTAGTTTTTGAACATTTCTCATACAATGTATTTATTCTGCTTAGTAATTATCTGACTGCTGAAATATCTATACTTTCTCATTTCATTAGTCACTTTATTTAATTTATTGGTCATAGCGTCCAAAATTTGAATTAGTATGGTAGAAAATCACCTAGTTTTCATTCTGGAATGTGAATTTCACTTGTTTGGAATAGCTTTTAATAAATCTATGATTTCAGAAACAATGTGATAATCATTATATAAAATTCTGCTTTATTTTGGGGGTGAACTACAGTTTTTTGCATGAATAAAATGTTGAAACAGCAACCATTACCAACACTGTCCATGTTTCTGTTATAATTTGATATTATTTGTACTTGTGGAATTCTGATTACGTTTCACAAATCCTTAATTGTTTAAGATGTACAAAATAAAAAATTGAAATCTTTTGATCTGGTAAGCATAACTTGTAGACTATGTTCAAAGAGATCAGAATCTGGAAAAGTGAAAGGCCTTACTTGGTGAATGGTTGCACTTTACTTCATGAAAGGTTGCACTCATTTCCTGTCGTGAAACTTTTTATTCATATTATTTGTTGATGGTACTGGATGAAAATATTTTTTTTAACTGTGTAAAGCAGGAGTCGGTAACCTTTTGGCCACCGAGGGCACAAAATAAAATTTTAAATTCTTAGCGAGAGCCATCCATTCAAGTTTCATAACCAAATGTCATATTGGAAACTAGTTTTGTTTAAAAGACATAACTTTATTGATCTAAATAACAAATATTTATATTTTATATTCTTTAAATAAACATTTTTTGATATGTAAATCTGAAATTCGTGTTTTTACTTCGTCTAACTTATTATAATCGACAACATAATTTGAGTTGCATTCTCTTAAACAATTATCTCAATGTAAGTTTTGAACGTTACTTTGATACATTATAATTGCTGGTGCATAAAGCAGTGATATGCAATAAATTTTGGAAAAACAGAATCGTGTTGGCATAATAATCTTCCCTGTCAAGGCTTGCGCACCGTCAGTTGTTATTGAAGATAATTTCTGAATCAGTATTTTAGCATCAATCAAAAACGTTTTTATTGCACAAAAAAATTGTTTACTCATGTGCGCTCTTTAAGTTGTAGGATATTTAGAAACTTTTCTTTTATGGTAAAATCGTCAAAGGCTATCTTGACACCTATTGCCAACTGTGCTATATCTGTTATATCTCTCGATTCATCCAGTTGTACGGAAAAAAATGCACATTTGTTCATAACTTTTATTACTTTACTTGGGTTTCTAAGTGCCTTGCGATTGTCCCAGTTCTCATTCTAGCAGTTTTAGCTGACAACTGCTAGACATTTACAAGCAAATTATATATATATATATTATTTTTAAAATCTCCAAAAAGTACGTCTGCATATCCAACGTTTCTTCTTTTATTATTGCTTCATCTGCACATGGCCCTTTTTTTAGCAAGTATAAGTGAAACTTTGATGCGAGTGTTGCTGCCTTTGATGTTTCCAATGGTTTGTAAAAGTAGAGATTGTTGCTCGAAATCGATGACTTTAATGATAAAATTTTATTTCATCGAAGTGCAGAAAGTTCAGGATACTTTGAGTCAAACTTCGGATGCACACTTTTAAAATGTCTCTCAAGGTTACTTTACTTTGGAATTGCTACTCTTTTGTTGAAATAAGCATATACAGTAGTGGGCAAAATTGTGGACACTTTTGGAAATTTTTATCTTTTTGAACTATGTATGCTTATAGAAAACGTTACGTTTCACAAAATGCAAACTTGTATATATCATTTTAAAGAGAATTTATTACTGAATTCAATACAAAACACAAAATTCAATTATTTGCAATACAAAAAAAGTTAAACAATAATAGTTATCGATATACATTAGATAGTGATGATTGCAGTGAGTTATCAGTACTTAGTAGGGTACCCTTTATTTTTTATTACAGCTTCACTTCGACGTTTCATTGAGCTGACAAGAGTTTTAAGCTCTTCTTTCGTTATTACATGATGCCAGAAAACAATTATGCCTCAATTAGTTCCCTTTTATTTGATGGACGCCTCATTCGGACAAGAGTTTTCAAAAGGTGCCAAAATTTTCGATAGGATTGAGGTCAGGACTGTTTCCTGGCCATGACAACAATTTAATGCTCTTTGTATGAAACCACTCTTTCGATATTTTGGCCGTGTGGCAAGGAGCAGAGTCCTGCTGAAAAATAAACGAAGCATTGTTGGGAAAGAGAGCTCTGATAGAAGGTAGAAGTTTTGGTTCTAGAATAGTGTCAATGTATTTTCTGGCATTCAGTGTTCCATCGATGACATGAAGGCAACCAAAACCATCTGCTGACATGCATGACCAAATCATAACACTAACTGGGTTCTTCACAGTTGCTTGAATGCAGTCAGGATGTAGCTCTTCTCCTCTTCTACGTCTTGCATATTTTCGCCCATCACTACCAAATAACGATATCTTAGTTTCATCACTCCATATAACTTGTGACCACTGATCATCTGTTCAATTAATGTGTTCCTTTGCCCACTGTAGTCTTTTTATTTTTTTCGTTGCTGAAAATTAAGATAAGGCTTTTTTCGTGGAATTCTACCTCTGAGTCCAACATCTGTTAATCTGATTGTTCTTGAACTGATAGAAACACCAGCATCATTCAGATCACTTCTGATGGCCGCTGAGTTTTCTACCTTGGAGACATAGTCTTTGTACTCTTCTGTCATCAATAGATGTGGTGCACCTTTTTCGGCCTTTTCCTTATTTGTTTTGTATTGAATTTGTCTCTTGATATCGTAAACAAAACTTTCGGACTCCAGATGTAGTCACTGAACCACCCATCTGTCTTGCAATTTCAGCATAGGAAAGACCACTTTCTCGTAACACAATAATATTACATCTCTTTCTAGGTGTCCAATGTACTCTTTTATTTGATGCCATTGCTTCTTGACTAAATATTAAAAATTTTTACAAAAAATTCCTACTTGTAATTGCAGTGTATAAGAAACAGATTCTCCTTCTACAGAAAAAAGCAAAATAATGAATTGTTTCAAGTGTAAACATGATGTCAGCTTTTACTGGCAGTTACTAACATTTGATTGGTTCTCAGAACAGTGATTGGCCAGGAAAGCTAGACATTACAAACCACTTCATAACTGTGTTTTTTATTTATATTAAAGTACATATAACTTTTTTTGTATTGCAAATAATTGAATTTTGTGTTTTGTATTGAATTCAGTAATAAATTCTCTTTAAAATGATATGTACAAGTTTGCATTTTGCAAAACGTAACATTTTCTATAAGCATACAAAGTTCAAAAACATAGAAATTTCCAAAAGTGTCCACAATTTTGGCCAACACTGTATATTTGTCTCTATGATTCATGAAGCAAAACTGGTGCTTCCATTCTTCATTAAAATTTAACTTCGTGTTCGCTTAGCTTTGCTCATCGTGGGTTGTTGCAGTCATCAGTTTGTAAGCAAATCTCTGTAAAATAAAGAAATCTTGGATGATTAGAAAGTACATAAACAAATCTGATAAGAAAGTAAAAATAGAGTAGATATACACTACATACCTTGTAATTATTGATTTTACTGCCTGTTTAAAAGTCAGAAATTTGGAGTATATTTACAAATTAAAATTTTCTCAGACAGAGAAAGTAGACAGATGTTTTGCACTCGCTGTCTTTCTGCCCGCACGTACTGGTGATTGCTTCAGAGAAGTTACAGTTAAATGCATCAACTATGCAACACGTCGCCGCTCTGTTGGGTCGTTCTGACTTTAGTCTGCTCCTCTCGACAATGAAACATTTTGAGCAGTGGTGAAGCAATAAAGTGGCTGTTTGATGCATAGATGTAAAAATATATAACTTGAATATGTATTAAATATATATAAACAATAAAACTGCAAAAATGCATGCAAAGCAGAATAATTTAACGCATATGCAGCATTGCCGACCGCTGTGGTAAAGGATGTAAAGATGATTTTCCTAAAAGAAGGAAGGCTTTTAAAAAAATGATTTGCATTCACTTGCATCAGAAAAACTATGAAAACCCATGTACTAGCCCGCTCATCAGGACTCTAAACAAGAAGTATCTTAGAATGAAAGCAGAAAGTCTGTTCATGTATGAATAGAACTGGTCTCTAGTATGTAGAAATTTCAGGCAGTATCATTGATTTATGGGCTAATATCTATCCCTATAAACAGAAATCTGTGATGATTATTTAAGCAGGTACATATTGAAGCAAGGCTGGTACCTGTGCATTTCTGTAAATCTGTATATCAGGTATCATTGGCTCTTGTTGATTGTTAAGCGTCAATTGAATTTTTACAAATGACTTCCCCAGGAAGGCTGAGAGTTTCCTACCACTTCTCCCCTGCTATGAACCTCTCCAGAGGACTTTAGGCTTGCCGTACATTTTGATTCCACCTTGCTGTGCAGAGACTAGGCACTTTTATAGGCTTACAAACAACCATCCCTTCTCTGGGATTCAAAACCAGGCCCATTGGTACCGCAGTCAGCATCACTAACCACTCTGCTGACTGGGCAGCTGATTATTTAAGCAATAATATTGGCTAGAAGGTCCATTTTGTGTATATCTAATGGCATTTCATTTTCTTTTTTTTTTAAATCCTTCCTGAAGGATGTGTGAATATTGTGCTATTTCTTATTTATTCTTTATTTATATACATTTAGGAAATTCTCATACCCAAGATGAAAATTTAACAAATGGGGCGAATGTAGTAAAACCTATGCCTATGCCTGAGGCCCTAGATAGCAGTACTCATCCTGATGAAAATTATGGCAATCGACGCCTAGAAATGTAAGTGCATAATATAAATTAGTGCATAAATTATAAAGAAAAGTGCCTAATTTAAATAAGACATTTTGATAAAAAATTAAATTACCAAGTAAATTACATTTTACTATAAATAACAATTTATATAATTAGACAGACTAATTCTTCAAAAATCCTAGATTAAATACAGGACTTTAGATGATATGGCAATTTAGATAGTGTAATTAGTCTAATTCCTGAAAAATCATTTGAGAACTGCATTCCATTTTTCAAGTAATTACTGTTGAAAAAATTTTTTTTAAAGTCCAAATAAAAATATTTCTTTAAAAGTAGTTTATTATAAAACTACAGTCAAAAATCTATAATCCAGACCTCAAAGCTACAAACTTTCTGCACATGCGTAAATGCATAAGGCGTTTACACATGCTCGTTTAATGTATAACGGACGGTATAAGTTAAAGCTAAAATTATCTAATTATCTATTTCAGTTAATGTTGCAGATTGTGTTGTTCCTTAATCTTCTAATTGGATTCGGCTTATTATTTTTTGCAGACTGTTAGAGCAATTTTATAAAAGTAAGCTTGAACTTTTGATTATGTCAAATAGAATTTCCGATTCTGGAGCTGCCAAAGGATCAGCAAAGCGAAAGCATGTTTCGATGTCCATATAAAAAAAAAGTGGAATTGCTGCAAAAATGGATGAAGGGATATCCTTTGTTTCTCTAACCATTCCGAAATCTGTTTATCAATTTCATGCTGCTTTGCGGGGGAAGACGTCGCGGCGCGCAATGAACTGGAAGTTGATCTGTCAGCACTATCCTTATTTTCAGGGCAGATGTTTTTATTTTATTCAGCTTATAATTCCTTACTAAATGTAGTATTTTCATCTCGATGTACTCCGTCGTTGATATGATTTAAATCAAATTCCTTGTCACTATAAATATCACGAATACACATCTAATAGTTTTCTGGTTGCAATTTTCTAATTTCGACTATGCGTAATGTATGCTTTACGCATGCGCACGTTAAAAGAAATGTTTAATAAAGTAAGCAAATAAATATTAAGCTTTTTTTGTGTGTGTAAATTTTGATACCCTTTAGATCATAATTGCTCTTTATTTCATAAATAACGGTTTCATATTTTTAATTTTATAATTTCTGCATGCCATCTTACGAGATTTAAATTGATGATTTGCAATCCAGAATCACCAAAGTCCCGACGAGTCCAGATTAAAGACTTTTGACTGTATAAGAGAATATTCAATATTTTCAAAATGTTCATTCTTGGAAGGAAATGATTTACAAAAGAAAATTGCTCCACAAAATAATATGCCTTGAGTTAACATAGGGAAATTTTTAAGGCATAAGTTTCTGTTATGTAAATTATTGTGACATGTGTTAGTCTATTAGTTTCTTCATATTTGATTCTTTTGTAATATATTTATTGATTTTATCATATTTATTAATTTTTGTTGTTTTATATATGTACTCGATGTATCAAATTAAATGCTGAAAATTTTGTCTTGTATTATTTTGTTAAAATTTTTTTGAGTTATCATTCAGTATTGTAATGAATTCTGTTGATTTCTTATTGTGATGCTCATAGTAGTTTCAAAAGTTGTATCTATAACATTAGCATATTTGAATTAGAAATAATTTTTATAGTTTTTTTTTTTTTTTTTTTTTTTTTTTTTTTAAGTTTTTTAATAAGTACCCTGTCAAAGTACTAGATTCAAAATCAACAATAATTTATTTAAATTATTTCAAATTCAAATATAGAATATAAGCAGCATTATTAAGCTTTATATCTTGCTGATAATGCTCCTCATATGCATAAAATTGCTTTTTTTTAAAACAGTGTTGTAATATTGTTACAAAGCATAGTGAATGATATTGCTGATAATGAAAATTAATATTTTTCAGACCTTGTATATATATTTTTGACTCCTTAAGTGGACCCGATAGACGGGAAGTTATTACTACCTTGAGAGAGTAAGTTCTACAAAATTACAAACCCTTTTTCCACAAATGAAGCCAGTAATAATATTTTATTTTTCTGAGCCAGATTTCATGTGATGAGATCTACTCCCTATCATGAAGTTTACTTTCTGGACATGAAATACCATATTTGACGGCATATAAGACGCACTTTTTTCCCTAAATTTGGTCTCAAAAAAGTTACCTGCGTCTTATATGTGAAGGACACAGGTTAACTTTTCAATAGTGAATGCTATTTTTAGCCTGGATAAATGTCTAGACACACATAACTTTTTCTACATCTGCCATAATTATTTTGCGCATGCGTGAAATATCTGTCGCCAAAAAGCGTCGAAGCTGATGTCGGAGTTCGAACAGGTTCGACGGTCACATTACGTCTATGGAGCCTTTCCTTCTTTACATAGACTTTCTTTGACTCAGCCGACACACATGTCGGTATCGGTGCTACTCTGTATAAATGTGTCGGTATCGGTGCTTAAAACTATTTGTTTAAAAAAAATACCCTGGAAAATATGACTACAGGTAACAAGAGATTAAGCTATACAATTCAGTATAAACTAGGAGTGTTAAACTACGCCAAAGTGCATGGAAACAGAGCAACAGCAAGGCATTTTGGTAATTTTCCTTAATAAAAATATGTTTGGTAATTGCATTCAATGATTGTTTATTTGGCTTTTATGAAACATGAGAACTAAAAGAAATCACATTTTGAGTTATTGTGGTGACGCGCTCTCGCGCAGACTATTGGAACTTTTTCCCCTGTGTGTGGCCTTCTAAATAGGGGTGCGTCTTATATGCCATCAAATACGGTAATTAATATTAATTATAATTACATTTTCTACGACATTTTAAAATGTCGTTAATTATTATTAACATTAATTTCTTGTTGAATAGATAGGTTTGAGGGAAGAATAATTTTATTTGTCCTCATTTAGCACATATTAATTTTGTCTATTAGCATTGCTTAAATAGAAAGGGAGAGCCAAACCAAAGTATATTGCATAAAAAGATCCCAACATAATAAATATCACAAGCTATGGCTTTTAATAGATCATAAATCAGCTTTTATCAAACATTTTTTAAAGGGGATCAAGTTTACATATTAGAATGATCTGTGGACCACCATACTGTTCTTTGAAAGCAATTTTTCTTCATTAGTCTTCTTTGAAAACCATTTTTAATGAGCAGTATACATATACTTTTTTAAATACAGTTAATTAAAGTTAATTTAATTTTATAGTGGTGTGAACCAATTAAATTAATTCAAGAAAAATTACATTCATTCTGTATAATTCAAGGCTGTTAGAGTTTGGATAATCTTTATCTTATTAACTCTAAAAATTAAATAAATGTTGGTACGTCCAATTAATGACGTGGTTGAACCTGCTGATTCTGCCTATGCCAGTAAGCTTAAGTCTGAGATTGGCACACAAATTAACCGATTTTGATCTTTTGCCTTTGTCAGAGTTAGTGATCCAAACACTTTCTTACATAGATACGCAGACGTAAGCTGGATTATAGTTTTTGAAGTACCATTGTCCAATTCATTAGAATTGTGCAGTTCATAGTTTTAATTGGTATTGAGCTCCTGAAATTAACCATACCTTTTGCTTGGAATTTAAATAATGTGTCATCAGAGAGTTTGTAGAGACATTAGGTTAATGGGAAAAGCCGGAGAGATGAAAAAGTAGCAATCGCCTTCGCCGGGAATCTAACCACAGATCTCTGAAATACCAGCTCAGTGTGCTGAGCACTACACCACAAAGGCATGCCAAGAAGGCAGGAGAAATACCTTATATACTCCCCCTTTTAAAGAGCGACTGGGTTTTTTTAGGGGACCTAATCGCCAAATCCTGGTTGAGGAGAAATCATTATCCACCACCCTTTTAGTTTGGGCGCCACTGTAGAAACATGAGGATTTATTTGAAAGCAAGAAAGATGAAAAATTAGCAATCGCCTTCGCCAGGAATCGAACCACCTGCACTAGGTGCGTATTCCAGAGGTCTGCAGTTCAATTCCCAGTGAAAATGTTGCTGATTTATTCATAATGTCTGCTTCCAAAAAATTACCTAATGTCTCTACAACCATTTTTCACATACTTCCTGAAAGGTAGTGAAATCCAACTTTTGTAGAATTCATAGGTAGGTTTACAAATACATTTTTATATATTGTCATCAGTGTTAATTTATTAATTCAGACTCTAGATTTAGGACTCAATTTTAAAGAAATAATACCTTGTTTTATTTAATTTTAAAATTGAATGTAAGTAGAAGTTCAAGAAGTTTGGTTTTAAGAAGTTTAGTTATTAGTACTTGAGAAAATAAATAATTTCAAAGCACATAATCGATGTTTCAAATGTTTTAAGAAATTGCATTTGAGTCATTTTTGCAGAGATAAAAGTGTATGTAGTAAATGTAAACTACTTTAAATAAGAAGATGCAGCTTTTCCGTATAAAGGTCAATAAAAAGTGCATAAAAGCAAAGTATTGGATGCCTTGTGTTCTGTGGGGTTATATTTAAATATTATTCCACAAAGAAAATACTTCTTCGTGGAGGTATTTATAAGGTGGGAAAAGATTTATTTTTACATATGTTGATGACTAAAGATGTCTGTAAAACTTTCTTTATTTGAAGAAAGGGAGATCACAGAATTCTTTTATTAAATGTTAAATCATTGGAAAAGAATTTCATTAACATTTATAAAAAATAATTGTTTAAATATCCTTTAAATTTACTTATAAAATTATTTATATATTTATCAATTTTCAACATTTGCTCAGGCTTTCAAAAATCCATGTAAATTTATTTGTACAAGAATATGGGGTCATTTATTTAACTTCTTTTAGGATAATATTTTTTAAATGTAATTTTTAATATTTATCATAGCTTTTCTGACTTACATGTAAAGTTAACTTAAAAAATCACCTGTAATAATAATTACAATTAATATTTTTCAAAGAAGTTGCTTTATCATAATTTTTGGTACAAATTTAAAAAGAATTTTCTGTATTATAATTAACATTTTTAGATGTTTATTATCTGACAGTTTTTTTGCAGTGGAATTTTGCTCCACTGCTTTTGATAATCCATCAGACATATTATAAGGTATCTCTCCCTCCTTCCTTGCGTACCTTCTGTGGTTCTGCAAGCTGGGCCAGTATTCCAGAGGTCCATGGTTCGATTCCCGGCGAAGGCGATTGCGCATTTTTCATCTTGCCTGTTTCTAAAAATACCTAATGTCTCTACAATATTATGTCTGTTGGTAAGCGTTATACTCATTGATGTAGTACTTCCTTAAATAGGAGAATCAAAACTAAGCAATTTGTAATATTAGCCCCGTTCACATGCAATGCTCCTTCGCACAGCTGCTGTTAGCAAGGGGAGAAAAAGGAGACATGAAAGAGTTTCTTTCGTCTTTAGGACCCGTTCAGAAGACCACCGTCTTCCTTCCCCTTTACACCTAAGCCTCTGTGAACAATCACGTCTCCGAATTGACAGATTTCTAATACTGTTTACACATTTTTAACGTTGTTTACTGTTGTTAATTTTGTAATCTGGACTTTCGCAACTGGTACCTGAACTTTCGTAATGGTTCCTGAAATTATTATTATTATTTTATAAGCTGTTATTTAGTTCACTCTTGGTGCTTGTCGCTATTTTTAAAAGATGGTCATGGATTTTTAAACTGCTTCCCGATAAGATATAGAACTCAAACTTTGTACATACACTGCTTGTGAATGTAGTGTCACACTTTTGATTTTTAGAGGTCTAGATTTTTTTCAAATTTAAAGCTGAAACGATTTTTTGCAAATATTAACAAATAAACTGAGAATTTCAGAATATTATAGTTTGCACCATAACACACTGTGGAGGACAAAAAAAATTAAATGAAATTTTTAGCGCAATTTTTTAAAAAATATTTTGGGAGAAATTTTAAAAATCGTTCATATTTTTAGACTTCTTGACGCCCATTAATTTTAAAATTTCATATCTAAAAATATATCGGTTACAAAATTCAGACATTTTTACAGCTTATAAAACAAACGTTTCGCATTTAAAAAAAAATGATACAGGAAATTAATTGGATGATTTTTTTACTTTTTTGAAAGATGTGCAATGAATGAGAATGGGAAACATTGGTTCTTCTTGGGCATCAATTCGAAACATCGGTTTCAAAGTGATAATCTCGTTATACCACACTATTTTTATGAAATTATTTATGCTATATAAGTTGTTATTGTTGCCAATTGTTTGTTCAGCGTTAGATTGGAGATATTTTCTGAGTTAACTTTCTCTTAAGATGCGTTTTGCATTCCGTTGTGTTTAACGTTCTTATTAGATTGAAGCATAACTATTGATTATACTTAGTGATATTCTAAACACTTGTACGAGTATTTCTGTGGAAAATTCCAGAACTTTGAAGTGTTTCTGTTGATAAAATAAATTTAATTAAGCTATCATCGGATTTGAGTTCAATGACAATCATTTACGAACTATTATCAATCTATTACAAACCCATATGCACGCAACAATATTATAATTAATTAATGTATTAAATAGTTTTGAACGTGTTTTACAAAACGAAAACAGGTAAAGAAAAATTCTGCTTGCGTTTTATGAGTTTTTGTAATTTTTCTGGCCACATAAGGTTTTAAAAAAAAGGTTTGTAATTTATGTTTATATTTACCAATTGAATAAATAGCACTGCATTTGATTTATATATATATGTGTGTGTACTGAAATTCAGTAATAAAATTTTAAATATTTGAAATCATTAAATGTCTATTTTAGACAGTTTGTATTCTGTAAACTGCAAATGCAAACTGAGAAACCTTTTGCATTTTTTTCAATAAATCCTTTTACTTAAAGTCTTAAAGCATATACAGGTATGGACTAATTTTTTTATTATTTTTACTGCTTATTAACATTATACTTTATAGAAAAAAGGATGGGTTTGCAAAATACTGAAAGGAAAAAATTATTTAAATGAAAATGTGATGAGATCTATTGGTTTTAAAGATTTTAGATAAGAGTGTATTTTTTTCAGAAACTAATTCATTAATTGCAAAATCATTCCTTGAAGTTATTAAGAACACTCTAATAAATAAAAAAAAAAACGGGGGGGACATTAAAAATTGTAAGAGAAGAAAGACATTTTAATGTAAATTTTTTTTTCAAAAATTTAAATTAAAAAAAATACTAGCAAAAACTTTTTTTAGCTTAAAATTATTTTGTCTCACAAAACCATTTAATAATATTCATAAAAAAAGTAGATGAAAATGCCTAAATTGTTTTTAAAAAAATGATTCAAAAGGTAACGAGTCCTTGTCGCGTTTGAAGCCGAATATGCACTTGTAAACTTTAGTTTTAATTTGAACGATATTTCTGGAATACCTAACCTAGCATCAGATAACCTTAGTCTGTATTTGCCTATAATTTCCGTATCTTTGTACAGTTCTATCTAATTTTTCGGGGGATGCTATCACATCCCCAGACATCTATCAGCGCGTTTGTTTCTCTGACAGTCCAGCGAGCAGTAACTAAAATTAAGTGAACCGTGCAGTATAGTACGAGAAATCTCCCCATTTGCCCTGCTCCCGAGAGGTAAGGAACATTCAACCAAGTTCTACCTACAATTCGGCGGGGCAGTTAATGCTTGTCCCATGTGAACAGGACACGTTGGAAGAACCGGTTTTCGCTACCGATCGAATCTGCTCTTGTGAACGAGCCTATTATGAGTTGATTTCAGCTCTTTTACCTGTAAAGAAGCGATAACGAATTCCTTTTCTGAGGGCATGCAATGGACATTAAAATAACTCCCTAAATTAAAAGTAAATTAATTTTGTCTTATCTACACCAATTAAACACTGGTGTAGATAAGACAAGTTCGTTTAGATATATGTATGTTCATCAAAAGTTACCGCATTCAGTTTCTAAGTTTTGCAGATGACAATAATTTTAAAGAAAATAAAAAAATCAAAACACAAGAAATTAATGTTACAACAAAACCTCTTTAAAAAGTGTTTAACTGGTGTTTCTACTGTATGACTGATTGTCAGTGCTTCCTTTTCCTCACAAATATCATCTGTAATTTATTATTTTTTAACTGTTTTCATTTGAACAGGTATTTAGATATAGAATGGACCTTAAAAAAGGGGACTAGAAAAAGGTTTGATGTCAGCACTATTCAGGGTTATATATTGCAATGTCCCCAACAGAAAAATAACCATGACTGTGGTTTATATTTACTGCAGTATGTTGAAAGCTTCTTTCAGGTATGTACTTGTTTATTAAAATTTCTATTTTAAGTACAGAATATCTTTGAATGAAAGTTTTTTTTAACTTTAATTAGAGAATCATTTGGATGATAATTTTATATTAACTGTTGAAAGTTCAATTTTATACTGCAATGTAATTTTTTGTAGAAAGCCAGAGAGAAAAATCCTTTTAAAATATACAGTACTATATCCTTCACTACGTGCAACATGAGATCATTTGTGGTTAAGTTATACATCGTAGCTCGAGTAGTATGCCCCCAGTCTATAATGCTAGGTTCTGAAAAATAATTCCCCACATCCTCTATTGTACATAGTTTTCCCCTCTGATGGTTAGTTTATTGATAAATTGTATTCCGTTTATTTTCTTTATTTTTATTTAGTGCATTCAATTTGTATCAGCAATTCATCCATTTTTTTCCCCATTTATTATTTGAAATGTATTTTGTTTAGATTCTTCATTAAGCTACACAGATATGGTAGATGTTCTCACACTTAAAAAAAAACTGTCAAAACATGTGGTTTTACTTTACTTCTGTTATTTATGTTCCAGTTCACTGTATCCCTATATACTGCTGATGTGGTCAATCTTTCAATATTCAGACCTTTTGCTCATTCCTGTTCTTCATTCCTACAATGTCCCTCTTGGGAACAGTCTAGACTCACTCATGTGAGTGTCCTTGGAACTTTACAACGTAACTGAGCCGGAGACGTTCTGCTCAGCTCTATTACCACCAGATATTAGCTCAATATCTGTCAGATATTGTAATCTTTATGTCACTATGCGTTCCTGTTGAAATGTAGGGTTCTTTCTAAAAAATGATATTGTGATAGTTACTAGTAGTTTATCCATGACTACTTTTCCATTTGTTATGTCTTTTCTGTAACCACATTCTTCAGAAATTAAATTATTTGCATAATTTTTTTGCTCTCAATTTTTGGGTGATCAAATTAATTAAAAAGGGAGGGGAGTATGTGAGGAAATGCATGTTATCTGTGATAGTTATCAACCATTCAGTTTTTTCATCACATCTACCGATTTCCAAATGTTTAATTGTTAGTGTTTTATTTTGGTACTGCTGACATAGCAGACCACCAGATCTCTCAGTATTTAATTTCTAGCTTATTATTTCAGTGCTATCGGTATAGCTTTGTCTTTTTACCTGTCCAAACAAACTGGAATGACTGGTATGACCACACATGGCAATAAGCAAAGAAGAGTGCAGAAACAAGCTTGTTATATCATATCTGCATTTATGTTCATATTGAATTGGAATAAAGGAACCATAAGCTCATCAGTATGACTTCAAAAGATTTTTTGTTGTATTCATCCTCAGCTGCCATAACTTAAATTAACTAATTAATTTTATTTTTATCATATTATAAATACTTTAATAAATATTTTTTTCTTTTGTTCTCAGGATTTTGACTGTATAAATGTTAAAAAAAAAAGATAGAAAATTAAATAAAATTAATCGAAAAATATAAATTTTAGAACATCTAGTTAAATATTAATATATTTTATATCAGAATAACATAATAAATAGTTCCATAACCTAGATCATGCAGTATAAAGAAAATTTAAATCAATTTGGTGTTCTCTTAAAATCGCATCGCCGTGGAATGTGAAAGCCTCCTGGTTTTTCAGATTTCAAGATTGGCGGCTGTTATACATAATATTCTTTAAAATGTATCACGTTTCATGATATTTAAAAAAATACTGGTTATTCCAGTAAGTGAATTACTGAGATCGAGAAGACATAGATCACTGTTTTCAAATTTTACCAGAGAATGAAAAGCTATTTTACTGATTCAAACCTTTTCTACTTTCACTGCACTGTATGTATGTGTTTTTCAAATAACCCTGGACATCTGATTGACACATTTTGTGACTATCTTTAGATTTAACACAGCAAAATCAAAAAGGAAAAAAGTACTGTCCGTGTCCATTTTGATGTTACAATAAAAGAATGCATAGGCATACCTTTACATACTGCAAATTTGACTCTAGATCAGTGTTATAAAGTAATATCACATATATTCAGCACCCCTGCAAAAATTATTTTGGTATCCCACTGCACATAAAGGCTCATCTACACTGAATGCACATCAAAATTAACGTAACTAAGAGGCGAGTGCAAATGGAATTCTGAGCAAGCTAGCTTGAAAAAAAAAAAAAACATTCACTTTATTTTGTTCTGGTGGTTTTCCATACCTTGATGCGGTTTTACTTAATTCAATGAACTAGTTTTCATATTGTTGTGAAAAATATGTGTTAAAAATATAACAACTGACATTTTCAGGAAATAGTTCTGCTAATGTTTCAAAATTTCCATATTTCTGTATTTAAAAATTACTGTAGATTATTTTCTGCCAGATTCCCTGTTTTGTGATGGGTCAGTTCTTGCATTTCATAGTTACAATATGCTCATAGTTGAAATTTTTGAACTAGGAAATCCTGGCTACAATGCATGGATAACTAAGTCATTTTTTTCATATATGTACATTAGGGTCTTCATCAGGTCCTTAGAAATTATGATTACATGTTACATTCAGCAATCCATACGACTTCTCTATCAATATGTTCATGCAATACCATATTAAAATTTTCATCAAGAACGTTTTCTCTGTGGCTTTAGCAAAGTAGCTATTTGGCATAAGAGGAAAACAGCCTGCCTAACAGAAATCATGTTTAGCATTTGATTTAGAATTTAGCATTCAAATGTTTCTGTTATTTGAACGTTTAGAGAAAATCGCCTGAATATTATTAACTTTTATTCTAAAAACTTTGTGTAAATATTTAAGTACTGCTAGAATCAGGTCTATAGTAACTTGTATAAATTTCAGAAAAATATAATTCTCTGAAAAGAAAAAATTCATGAGATGAGACAAAATTTAATAACAGTATTTTGGAAACTTATGTAACCTATCTTAATCATAAAGCACTGAACTTTCTTTATGAATTATTATTTGGCCTAAAATCATAACAATAATGATTTCAGAAAAGTTTTAGACAATGTGAAAGTTATTACCTGAATTTTAAACACAGATAAAAAAAATGAGCAAATACAGTTTGCAAAATGATGCTAATTGATTGGTTTAAGATCACCAAAAATTTCTTACTAAAAACATTTTCAAAACAAAGCATAGTGCCATAATATTATGCTTTTATAATAAAATAAAATATTTTAGTGATTAATATCAATTAATGAAACAGAAATTAAGTTAATAGGAATGATTTTAAAAGCATGGAGCTCATCTGATGTTTATTACTTCACATTGTCACCATGATATTAATAACAGTTTAAATGCTCATATGAAATGAAAACCTAAAAGAAAATGTCAACTAATGAAATATTTCAAATGACATGCTAAGGAAATAGTATTTTCTTGTTATTTTTATGTAAATTGTTTTATTATTTCAGAATCCAATTCCATTTTATCTGAATTCTGTACCAGACTTAAAAAATTGGTTTAAAGCAGAAGATGTATTATTCAAAAGATCGAAGATTAAAGCACTTATTTTGAATCTTCAAAAGAAACAATTAGAAAACACTGCTACAATTTGCAAAGAAAGACAGTAATAAATTGTTCCTCTATCTTTTGTGATAGTGATTTTGTTATAAGTGAATTATTAGGTTATTTCATGAAGTGACTTATAAAATAATAATTCCAGTTGTAAATAGTTAACTAAGTAATAGTGCATACAAAATGTAATTTATACAAACACAATAAAATGATTTGTTTCAACAGAGATTACTGAAATGGCACATGGAATTGCATAGAATGTTATTTCTAAAACAAATACATTTTTAAAATTCCTGATCATTACCTAAATTTGGAGTTGTAACAATTGAACCAGAGTGATTTCTCTATATGCTGCATTTGTCTGATCTTCATTAGCTTTTGTTCACAGACACCGTTGTAAGGTGGAGAATATAACTATTTTATGGGGTGGTTGTTTGCAATTAAAAAATCATCCTGTTATTTTCATGATAAGAGCTAAAAGAGATTTGACATCACTTCATCATGTGTTAATTTCAGGTATTGGGATACAGACACTAAGCTCCACAGAAGTTTCAGAATGAGTTTTATCTGACATTAACTTATCTTCTCAACTTGAATTTCCATACATTAGTTAGAGTTTTTTTTTTCTTTTCTTATAAATATTCATTTCATCAAAACACAACTTGCAGATCTTCTGTACAACTCTGTCTTCCAAAACATAGTCTTTTAAACATGATACATTGACAGGCTCATTGCATTTCGACCAAACTCTACATACTTTACTAATGACATTACTTAATTTTGTTTTTAACATTTCACTATCAGGGTGAGATGAAGTACTTATCACAGTCAAAGCACCTTGTAAATGATCTTCATCATCCAAAGACTTAAACGTTTCCTTCAAAATAGAAATTGTTGACAGTCCAGCTTTAGTTGCACAACCGAATATACTTTCATAAGAGGACATTTTACTGACGAGGGTGAAATGCTCGGTTTTTCATGAACTCAATAAAATTTATCCCAGAATAAGTTTAGAATAAAATAGTAAGTTCTCTAATGTAATTAAAGAATTTCCAGTATCATTAGGTTGCAAGCCCAATATTTTTGCATCATACAATCTTATGCCCGATTTCGTCTCTCAATGATTGCTTGCCTTAGTGGCTCTGGTTTGCAATGCATGACCTTAAGTTCTGGTCAAGTTATAATTAATGTGTCTATTAAAAAATTCTCTTCCATTTGCATTTAAACACAATGGGGGCTCCAAAAAACAAGGAATATTCAAGGTCAAAGAAACTGGATACCAACTTTGTCTCTTAAAAACGTTTGTCGGAAATGGAAACAAAAAAGTTGAAAAAGTCCTAACTTTGGAGTATACAGGTAAAATTTGTAAAAATGCATTACGGTATTCTGTAGGGTTCCAGGTAACACTGCGCCATCAAGCTTTTAAAAGTGCGACTAGTTCGAGGCATTGCAATGAGGATGGAAAGAGAATACAAGAATGGCAATTTGAAGTACGCGCATTGTATAGAATGAAAAAAATACTCTGGATATACGAATATATACAATATGTCGTCTACAAAATATTACAAATTTTCGGAATTCCTCTCCGCGCCATTTATGGAAAATTAATAATAAAAAAATTAACTACGAATAAAGAAAATAAGCCGATATATATACATTACGAAAAATAAAATTAAACGCAATGCCAATGGCGACAGTAAAAAAATTCGCGCCAGTAAAAATGAGTCAACTAATAAAACAGTCCCAAAAAATTCGAGATGATTGTCATAACAAAAAACAGGACCTACCACCCTCAATACTGCTTTGTTTGAATTCATCCCCCCCCCACACACACACAAAGCAACGGAAACAGAAAACGTAAACAACGGATGTTCTTTCCTAAGCACAGATGTTCTGATTCGTAACAGCATGAGATCGCTAAAGGCGCAGTGTTCCCGCTAATGGAACACCAGAGTTTATTCAATGATTCTGCGTATGGTTTTTGTCTGAAAGATTAAAAAAATATAGAACAGATAATTAGGAGTACAGCCAGCAAAATTATGCCTTTTTTTTTTTTTTTCCAAATAAAATTTTTTATATCATTAAAAAAATAGAGAAAATTACTTGAAAAAAAGTGGATTTTAATAATACATAATAAATGAAAATTCTGTGTCTCCTTGTGACATGCTGCTATCTACTGTTAAAAAAGAAAACTTCAAAATATATTATAAAGGCATTTTTATCTATTTACGGTTGAATTTAAAGGTTTCAGAAGCGATTCAATTTAGGTGTTCCATGTAGTGGAACACTGAGCCGCAAAGGGTTAAAACAACAAACTCAGTAAGATGGTCTTCATAAACTAAAATAAATTTAAGTTTTCTGAGGTCTGCCTCATATCTTGTGTTCATACATGGGGGGGACATAAGTTTAACGCCAGCAACCTCCTTGCCTGTCTCCCCTTTTTATTGATAAGGCTCACGAAGATTCAGGAAGATCTTAATATCATTTATGTAATATTTCAATAATGATGATTAAGTTTTTTATCATTCAATCTGAACTACCATGTCAAACAGACAAATGCATCAAATGTCAAACAAAACAGACAAATGTCAAACAAAGAATCAATTGAATAATAAAATGTTTTTACGGACGACAATCCTCAATGCTCTCTCACTGCTCTTGCATTATATGCAGATGGAATCCTATACCAAAACGCATCTCTGAGTTCAGTAGTACAAGCATTACAAGATCATACTCACTTAAAATCAACGTTGAAAAATCTGAAGCTGTGCTTTACACCAGAAAGCGCAAATTGGAGCGGAACATCACTCTCTCTATGCACAATACTAACATCCCCCTGGCTAATGAAGTCAAATATCTTGGTGTTATTTTAGGCCAAACACTCACATGGACCCCACATTATACAAATATTATTAACAAGTTTCGGCATACTAAAGCCTTAGTCAACCCCTTAATTGCCCGAAACTCCGTCCCACTTTAGAAAATAAGCTACTCATGTATAAGACTATGTTGCAGCTCGTTTTTACATAGACCTGACCCGTCTGGGGTTTCCTATTTAGTTTTCAACTGAAAAAGTTACAACAAATGCAAAATAAAATGTTAAGGCAAATCACAAAATGTCAGTGGTTTATCAGAAACTATGCTCTTCACAATGAATTAGACATAAACAAAGTCGATATGTATTGCAAAAATTGCAGAGAAATTTTTCAGAAGTATAGAAAAGTTAACAGCAGTTCCATTCCTCTTATAAACTTATAATATTAATGATCTAAGTAATAGAAAAAGACTTGAAGCAGTCCTACTGCATTTAAATTATATTATTATTCTTGTACTTTTCATAAAATTTTGTTTAAACTTAGAATATTTATTCCTGATCCAAATTATTTTGACCTCCATTAATTCAAAATTGTACGACTCTGAAAAAGCTTCGCCCACCAACTAATGCCTGACTTGCATGAAGATATACTTCTTTCCAGCTACCACTGGCTCTTGGCAGATCCGGCCAGATGCTCCTCCTGCCACCCAGTTATCAGGCCTCCGTCTTATCTCCGACTCACTTTGGATTTCGGCTTTATGCTACACGCTGCTTTGATATGCTGATGGACTTTTGATCAATAATTGCTCATCTTCTCCACTGCACACCACCTTTTTGTTATGCTGGACAGTAGCTCACTTACGCTGTTATATTGACTTAGTTTTCATGGTTTAACTACATATATCTCATTCATAAAGCATCATACGAGATTAGGTCTATGTTGAATCTCACTTTGAACTTCACCTTACATTATGCTTAAGAAATGTTATGTTCACCTGCTACGCGTTCAACTCAGGGTGCGGCTGATGCCCAGGAGCCTGTGACAAGTGTCTCCACGCACCTAAGTCTTAAATATGAAAACTCTATAACTGTTTTTGAATCTGCCACTAGGCCTATTAATATTTCTACTCTTTGAGCTTTAAGGAAATTATATGTTGAAGCAACCAATCATTGTGCGGTGCTTTATTATGTGATGATGTAGATTTCATTACATCAGCTGTCAAATGTAATAATTTTATGGGTGGGCAAAGAATTTTGCTCTTTCACATCATGTTTACTTAGTAAAAATTCAAACTTTTCCTTCATTGCATCTTTCCTCCTCAGTCATGTAATGAATATATTGTTCAAGTCAACTTAAGGGTTTAAAAATTATAAAATTTGTACTTTAACATACATAATATTAATAACTTAATTAAATTAATGAAACCAAAAAACTTGAGAAAACTCACTTAATAACTGACATATTGGAGCATTATTAAATACAGAGCAACCGGAAAATAGGAACAATCAAATAACCGGAATGAAATTGCAGTTGCACAATCACTAAACCAGCAAAACTTCTCAAACTTTTTGAAGCCGTAGGTGCATTTAAAATCATATGAATATTAGTAGGTGCACCATACAGAAAGTTTCGAGAAATATGTTATAATAATTACGTTATATATTACCAGAAAAAAATAATGCAATAAAAACAAAATACACCTTAAATGTATTCATTTTTGTGTTTATGAGTAACATTAGCCTAATATGTCCTAGCAATTTCTTCGATGTTTGGATATATATTTGCAAGGCAGACTCTCATTTCCTCGTTAATATATTAAAGAATTCTTCTCTTTTTACACTTAATTTCTGCTGGGGGTAAAAAATCCTAATTCAAATAAGTATGATATTAAAAATTGGGGTAAAGTCTTCAAAGCTTTTTTAGATGTTGACACATGTTCTTCTTTTATAGAAGTCCAAAATGCTTCAAGAGACAATTCTTCATGTTTAATCATCAATCTCTAATGAGTGATATACCTGCCACTTCTTCTGGTAATGTTAAACCAAATCACTTGAAGTTTCCATGAATGCGTTGTTCAGTGTTAAATGGAGGAAATAAGAACTTGATTTTTTTTCTAAATATTATTGGAAGCGTTTCATTTATGCAAGTGTTACTGACGAATGAAAATATTTCCAAATTATCTTCAACAGCTATTCTTTTCCAAATCTGCAGAATTCTCTGAAATGCGTTTATTTTATCTGTGAATGTAAGAAAATACAAGAAATTCTTGTTGTAGCTCATGTACATGGATAAGTACTTTCTCTTGATGGTCATCCCACGTCATCATGTAAAATCAGCCATCTGTGTTGATTGATAGAAAACTTTTCGAATAAATGAGATTTTTATTGGTCTTGTTTTAACAAAGTATACCAT